TTATTATAATTAAAATACTTATATCTACAGAATATTGTAGCAATATTTATTTAGTGATTTGTTTCATTTTTATAATTTGATTAAATATTACCAATAAATAAATAAACAAACAATCTACCTGATAGGGCAGTGTAGCAAATTAGCTCAAAAGGGAAATATTTATAATTAATAATAACTGGTTATAATTAATAATAAATATTTAGATTAGATTTTAGAATTAACTGTAGCAGAATCAACATTACAATTACTTGATCTGTCCGTCCACGGAGCAGAAAATATAATCATTTATCAATTCTAGGAAAGATTATTTTCCTGGTCAAGGAAGAATAGCTTTCCTACTTTATGCAGTACTAGCAGTAATTTAGCATGTAGCAAGATCAACATTCAGTGACTCCGAATTGTGAGCAGCATACAGAGGCAATCAATTGTGAATATAATGGATTTAAATCAATTAAACGTCTCGGTTACGTATGCAACCCTCGTTCCCTGACGGAAGGAATGGAGATGTCACGTCGGTAATGACCAGCGAATTGGAATTGGGATCTCACTTAGAGAGACCAATCCACTTAGAGCGTAAACTAAACGAGCCAATGCACATTGGCATGCGATGATTGCATCCAGCTGCCACGCATACTCAGGTTTTCGCTGAGGTGCCGAGCCGGTGACCTGGCCGCTCAGCGGTGGTACAGCAGCTGTGGCGACGGGACGTGACGTAAATCTGGCTGCCGAGGGGATGGAGGAGCTCGACAGGGTCTACAGTACGGACTCTCTGGAGCGGTTTTAGCAAGTCGACACTAAACCGGGCCTCTAAGTGCTTCTACCCGTTTGAGGTGAGAATGCAGGAGGATACCGGCTCCACACGAAGGCTATAGAACCCTGCGAACGTTTTGGGGGTTGCCCAGCCTGCAGCTCTACAAATATCTGTCACCCAGGAGGATGCAACACTTCTAGTAGAGTGCGCTCGCACCCTGAGCGGGCAGGGCACACCCTGTGCCTGATAAGCCAGGGTGATGGCTCACCACCTGATCCCTGAAGGCCGTAGTGGGAACCTTGGGCACATTGCAGCTCTTTCCATCTCTGGGTCGCCCGTCTCAGGGCCTCTTGCTCTTCCGCTTGCCACCAGGTTTGGCGGAGGCTTAGACGGGCGGGGCAGCTGCCCTGCGACCAGCTCCACGACGCTGCTTTGCCGGAGGCTGCTGCGTTTGCTGCGCGGGATCGGGGGCGGCGGCGGCAGCAGGGGGCCGCCCTCAGCGACGAGCAGACTGAGGCGCTGCTGCCGGCGGCCGGGTGGAGGCAGCAGCTACACGCCAGGGGCAGGATGGGTTTCATAGCCTCGGTCTGCTTCTGTGCAGCGGATAACTGCTGATTGCAGTTCTCCACTGCATCACCGAAGAGGCCGGTCTGGGACACGGGGGCATTTAAGAACAGAGTCTTGTCGCTCTCCCTCATGTCGGCCAGACAAAGTCAGAGATGACTTTCCTGGACCACCATAGTGGACATCGTACAGCCGAGACCGTGCAGTGACCTTTGTTGCCCGTAGCGTGAGGTCAGTAGCGGTGCGGAGCTCTTTAAGAACTTCTCGGTCGTTCCCACCCTCCTGCAGGTCCTTCAGTGCCTTGGCCTGATAAACCTGCAACAATGCCATGGCGTGTAGGGCGGAGGCAGCTTCTCTGCAGGCCGCATAAATCTGGCTGCCGAGGGGATGGAGGAGCTCGACAGGGTCTACAGTACGGACTCTCTGGAGCGGTTTTAGCAAGTCGACACTAAACCGGGCCTCTAAGTGCTTCTACCCGTTTGAGGTGAGAATGCAGGAGGATACCGGCTCCACACGAAGGCTATAGAACCCTGCGAACGTTTTGGGGGTTGCCCAGCCTGCAGCTCTACAAATATCTGTCACCCAGGAGGATGCAACACTTCTAGTAGAGTGCGCTCGCACCCTGAGCGGGCAGGGCACACCCTGTGCCTGATAAGCCAGGGTGATGGCTCACCACCTGATCCCTGAAGGCCGTAGTGGGAACCTTGGGCACATTGCAGCTCTTTCCATCTCTGGGTCGCCCGTCTCAGGGCCTCTTGCTCTTCCGCTTGCCACCAGGTTTGGCGGAGGCTTAGACGGGCGGGGCAGCTGCCCTGCGACCAGCTCCACGACGCTGCTTTGCCGGAGGCTGCTGCGTTTGCTGCGCGGGATCGGGGGCGGCGGCGGCAGCAGGGGGCCGCCCTCAGCGACGAGCAGACTGAGGCGCTGCTGCCGGCGGCCGGGTGGAGGCAGCAGCTACACGCCAGGGGCAGGATGGGTTTCATAGCCTCGGTCTGCTTCTGTGCAGCGGATAACTGCTGATTGCAGTTCTCCACTGCATCACCGAAGAGGCCGGTCTGGGACACGGGGGCATTTAAGAACAGAGTCTTGTCGCTCTCCCTCATGTCGGCCAGACAAAGTCAGAGATGACTTTCCTGGACCACCATAGTGGACATCGTACAGCCGAGACCGTGCAGTGACCTTTGTTGCCCGTAGCGTGAGGTCAGTAGCGGTGCGGAGCTCTTTAAGAACTTCTCGGTCGTTCCCACCCTCCTGCAGGTCCTTCAGTGCCTTGGCCTGATAAACCTGCAACAATGCCATGGCGTGTAGGGCGGAGGCAGCTTCTCTGCAGGCCGCATAAGCGCTGCCACTCAGGGCCGACGAGTACCTACAGGCTCGGGAGGGGAGTGACGGCTTGCCCCGCCCGGTGGGAGCAGTATTTGGACACAATTGCATTGCAATCATCCACTCCATTGGAGGGACTTCCGTATACCCCCGCGCTGCCCCACTGTCGAGGGTGGTGAGGGAGGATGAGCCACCGGGGCGGTTTCTGGCAGTGAAAGGTGCCGTCCACAACCCAGTGAGCTCATCATGCACTTCCGGGAAGAAAGGTACTGGGGTGGGGCCCTGAGCACCAGTGCGAGCCACCCCGAGAAACCAATCATCCAGCCTCGAGGGTTAGGGACGTGGTGGAGGCTTCCACTCGAGCTCAATCCTCACGGCGGCCCGGGCAAGCATAGCCACCATTTCCGGATCCGGATCCGGTATTGCTGGCCGCCCAGAAGGCGGCAGCACTGCCAGATCATCATATCCAGATAGGTCTGGCTCACCCTCCGATGCAGCGATCGACATCTGATCGTCAGGGGAGCACCAAAAGATACAAGTGGTGCCCCACGGGAGGGTCCAGCCTGTTCCCTGGGCAGCTCCACTGGCTGCGAAGTGACGGTGGAAGGAGGAGCCCTCAGAGGTTGGTTCCATGGAGGGGAATTGCTACTTCTGCCAGAAGTAGCACCTCCCCCAGCTTTTGCCAGGGGGAACTCTAGATCTAGGCAGAGGCACGGGAACCCCGCCCCTTTGCAGGAAACGGAGCCTGGTTCGCAACTCCGCAACGGTAATTTTCCCGCAATGAGAGCATGACTTGTCCACAAACGCCGCCTCAGCGTGCTTAATGCCCAGACACTTGAGGCAGCGATCATGACCATTACCCGGTGCCAGGTAACGACCGCATGCAGAAACGCACGGGTGGAAGGGCATCTTTAAAAAGACGCGTCTTTAAAAAGATGTCCACCTGTGAATGCTCTTTTAGAGATTGCTCTTTTAGTGTGCTGAAGCGCACAGGGGAGATGGCCTCCTGCAACACAAACAGGGGATAGTGCAGCCTGATGTGTGCAACCCACTCGACATGGGAAGAACCACCGCCGCTGAAGCGCCATATCGCCAACACCAGAGCTTCCCAAGAGCACGCTGAAACTCGTTGAGTCTTCACTCTGTAGCAGAGAAGTCAGGAGCAGAACGATATAACCACTCGCCTCCGAAGCGAACAGCTGAGTATGCATTGCACCTGCTGCCTAGTTATACTCGCACTGCGATCAGCAGCAACTGGATGCAATCATCGCATGCCAATGTGCATTGGATTGTTTAGTTTACACTCGAAGTGGATTGGTCTCTCTAAGCGAGATCCCAATTCCAATTTGTCGGTCATTACCGACGTGACGTCAAGAGTGACTGACTGTAAGGGAACTACAGCTAACATACAACTAGACTAAGCAAAACACATATATACAGAGTGAAGAAAGTAGGGAAAGAGAGAGAGAGAGAGAAGAACAAAGAATGGCAGTATTTAGCATAAATTAATCACAACCTAATGGAATCATCAGAGAATCAAAAATCACCTTGACAAAGGGGCCCAAACTTAGACACGCATCTAACTAGTTGAAAACAGTTAGTTGCATTGGCTTTGCTGCTGAACAAAAGTCCGGATGCGGTAGACAATGGAGGTTCTTGATGAGTTCGGTAGGAGTGAGCTGGAGGCTTTCGTCGAGTTCTGAAGATCGGAGAGTCCACAGCGAATCGACAAAGTTACTAGATATAAAACTGCAGGAAAGTCAGACTCTAGGGTGATGAGTCTTGGAGAATGTCTCAAAGGGTTTGAGCAATGATTGGTTTGGGTTAGGGACTTTTAAGGGTCTACCAGTCACACCCATCTTTGGCAGATGGACCAATGTAGAGGTGTGAATTTTGAGCGGGAGAGGTTCCTTTGTCTCACGCAACACCTTATTCACATGGTTTATGGTGGTCTGGAGGATTTGTCCAATATTAAGTCAAAGTATGGTAAAAAAGAGCATGGTGCAAGTTATGGTGACATAATATACACCATTAATCCAGGAATCGGAAGATGGTCATTTTGATAACTGGCATGCCAGGGATTGGGAAAAATTAAGGCAGTAATACATTCATATGTCAAGATCCAAGTAATTGCAGCGTCACTACAGTACTACAGAGTTATAACTAAGATACTATAACCTAGGAATATGCATACAACACAGGAATACACTATATACTTTTTGGAACAGTTTGATTGTGGATAAATTAAGCCAATGTCCTTTCCTATGTGTATTGTAGCTTTTGAGTATGTCTGGGCCACGGTTAGTGGCTCCTCGTGGAGATGGGGGAATTGTTCCTTCCCCTGCTGAAATCTCTTTGAAGCTCAAAGAGAAAGCCGACGACTGTCCTTTGCTAGCGTTGGTGAAGATAGCACAAGTGTTAACACCCTTTGAACCAGAGGTGGACATTAGACATGCATCTGTAATTTAGTTATAACAAGGGAGGAGGGAAAGTTTACGATGCCTAAAACCTGATCGAACATCTTGATTGCATCCAAACGCTACAGCAACAAAGCAACAAGTCAGCTGCCTAAGCTTTCAGACTCAGCTTTTGTGTTCATAAACAAGCTGTAAGCAAGCTAAGATGGTCAGAGTTCATTTAGAGCAAAGGAGTCTAGTCCTGCTCCTGAAGGGCTGCCATCCTGCAGAGTTCAGCTCCAGTTCTAATTAAACACCTGAACCAGCTAATCAAAATTTTCAGAATTACTAGAAACTTCCAGGCAGGGTTGTTGGAGCTAAACTCTGCAGGAAGCTGGTCCTCCAGGAGCAGGATTGGACACCCCTGATTTAGAGAGTGTTGACATACAAAGCCATAATTCTCACAAACAGCCTTGAAACAAATCCAGCCCCTAACAGAAACCATTTATGACAATGCGATCAACATGAGTCTGCAATGGAGCCATGCACACTTTCATTTCTCATCCATATTGTCTCAGATGCACAGACAGTCTCTCCACTGACACTCTTCATCAACACAGTGCTATAGACTTGCCAAACTAAAACTGCACTTAATATTCTTAGGGATGCACAAGATAGCGATGCCATTTTGTTTAAATGCCATATATTTTTTAATTTATTCATTTCATTTGATATTGTATTTATATATTTGCAGATACTGGGCATATAATTATAGTTTTAGATTACCTTTGCAGTTGTCTAACGCACTTTTAAAGTTAACCTTTAAAAAAAACTATATAATAACACTGTTAAATATCCCTTTTCATATAATGGTTTGATACCTAAATGCACTTGTAGCTTTTAAAACTATTGGTTTTATTTTCTAATGTTTTATTTGAATTTTCATTAATTTAGGTAAAAATAGTAAAGAATTTTAATATTAACCATTACATGAAAATAATTATTGGATTGTTGATACTGGCCAGTAGCTTTAAAAGTTTTTTTATTTTTTTTACATTTGATTATTCATTTTCTGTATTTTATTCATAACTTTCTTTTATTTTATTTGTCTTATTGTTTGTTATGTGCATCTTTGCTCAAATTTTCATATTGCTTTATATTGTAAAATATAGGCTAATGTTGATGAAATAAAATGACTTGCATAATGAAATAAGATTTTGGTCATATAGCGTACCCTTACAATGACATCATAAAAAATACTGAAATTAAAATATCGGCCAAAAATATTGGCCTAAATATTGATTAATTTACATAAGGTTGGCTACTATTTGATTACTTTTCTGGAAGACAAGTACAAGACAAGTAAAACTGAGCAGACAAGCCCTACACCACAGTAGACTTGGTGGATTCAACAGATTTTAAAAACAAATTATTGTCTGATCGATGCATTAATGCATTTATGAGCACTAGATTTTCAACCTCTATGCAGGTGTGTGCATATTCTTCATCCTACCTTAGTGTGAACTGCTCAGTGGCGGCAGCCGAATTCATTAGTACTTGAAATCCCACCGTCTGTCCCTGTTTAACTGGGCTGGGGGGCGCCAGTATCTCGACGTCTCCGTCCAGTCTAAGTCGGTTTCTGGGCGCTTTGTTGTCCCCAGTGGTGAGAGTCACTGTCCCAATCCTCTGCATATCCCCTTCCTGCCCTACAGCCTTTCCTTGCACCCTACCTGCCACACACTCTTTTCCCAGGGCCTCTGGAGGGAGAATGGAGTAGTGCAACTCCACCGTGACTGGAATGGGCTCCTGCGTGCGCCTACGTGGCGGAGGAGCGTTGAACCAGGTTGTAGGAACGCCAAGCTGGGCTACACAGATCCCCAGGTTTCCCTCCAGTCGGCAAGCACTCGATATAGAACTTTCCCCCGGATCGCGCATCCCAATGACACGGATACACGGCAGCAGTTCCGCTGGAGGATCCACATCCTCCCACCTGCGGCCCGCCAGATAAAACAACACCTGGATTTGAGGCTGATCGACTCCTATCCTCCTGCTCACCAGGTGTGCTCTCACCTTCCAGCCCAGCGTCAGGTGTGTAGAGGTGTGGAAAGAACGTGGCAGCGCCCCCTGGAGGAGCTCTGGTGGTACCGGCGCCTCTGCGGTGAGATTGCCATAGCTACAGTTGACCGACAAGAGGGGAGCGGGACCAGATTCGGGCAAGTGGAGAAAGAGAGGCTCGCTGCGTGTCTGCAAGCTCCCGTTACGCATCACTTCCTGTGTGGCCTCCTGGAGAAAGAAGGATGACTCTGCACCCTGCAGTTGGCAGGACACAGGGAGGTACGTGGGCAAGGATGAGGAGAACCTGGGCACGAGATCGCTGCCTCCGCCCCTGCTCTCGCACACTGCGGAGAGACAAAGAGAAAGAGATTTATCTGTATGTTTTATTTCATTTCAGAGACACTATAGATGTTACTAAAAGGACAATTGCTTTCAGTTATAATTTAAAATGTCCCCTGGCTTTTGTTTTATCTCATTTAACGAGAGCATTTATTTACAGAGAAACAAATGAAATTAAGGCCAAGGGTCTTTGGAAAGATAATTGTATGAGCGTGTGTAGAGAGTAAGTCAATGTTCTGAGTGAATAGAGTAGAATAAAGCAAGAAAAAAGACAGATTTAAAGAGAAAATGTTGTTATATGTACACTATCGAAATTAAAAAATTTGGGGTCAGTAAGATTTTCAGAAAATTGTTTTTGGCATGAAGTCTCTCACAAAGGCTGCATTTGTTTGATCAAAAATACAGGAAAAACAGGAATGTTGTGAAATATTATTATAATTTAAAATAACTGTTTTCCAATTTGTGATGCTTATTGTAATCAATGTTGAAAATTGGTGTTTCCTAATATTTTTGTGAAAATCGTGATACTTTTTCAGGATTCTGAATAAAAAGCTTACTTGAAAAACACATTTTCTAGACATAGACATTTTTGTCACACAAAATAAAAGTCTTAACCTTTACTTTTGATACATTTTATTGCATACACTGTATATATGAATATATATAGCTGTATATATATATATATATATTTTTTTTTTTTTTTTTTTTTTTTTTTAATAAATTAACCTCAA